CACAAATATTGAAGTCGTAATATCACTAGAAAAGCGTTTAAAGCACATAAAATCATATTAAAATATATACATTTACAAGTATGTACTTTATTTACAGTACATGCATTCGTAAATTTAGATTACTTTTTCTGTACTACATTAATTAATTAAAAACTAAAATTTATTTGTTTGTAAGCTTAAAATAGATCCTTATTAACCATACATTATTAAAAATGCATTAATAAATAAAATACAGAACCGGAATTGGCAATTTATGGTTTAGCTTAGTGACAAGTAGCTTTGGAGACAAGTAAATTCGACTTACGTCGTTTTTCGACTTAAGTCGTTCTCCTGGAACCAATTACTGACGTAAGGCGAGGTATACCTGTATTCCTTTATCTTTAAACTTTCAATTTGCCTTAAGCTGACCAAGATGCTTTAAACCAGGGATGGGCAACCCACAGTCCTCAGACCACACATGGCTCACATTAATATTTTTTGTTGCTCATGTGGCATAAAATATGAATAAATATATCAATTTCCCAGCTTAAGGAAGTATGCAGCAAAACTTCAAATGTTATTTTCTACAACTTATGTATGTGAATAGTTTTTCCGCAATGAATTTAATAAAAATTAAAACAAGAAACCAGTTAACAGACTCACATTGAAACTAATTTAAAACTAGCAGTGACTAATATTTAACCAAATATTTCTGATATATTATATTCACATCAGTTCCAGAAGCTAAATTAAGTATACCTATGCTAATTTATAATTATATTTATACATGAATAAATAATTGTGATTTACTGGAATTTTTTTTCTTCTCTTTTCTCTTGTATGCAGCCCTTACATAAAAAAAGATTGCCCATCCCTGCTTTAAACCAAGGGTTCTCAAAGTAGGCAATATGGGTTGGCAAAATAATTTTTGTAACATAATTCCATCTAATAGAGAAATGGTGAGATAAATATTTAGCACTATTCAGAGATGTTAAAGTAAATATTTTTAGAGCATTTTTTCACAACAAACATATGACATACATCAAAACCAAAAGCGTTTACTGCATATGGATGTATGGGATGAGACAGTGACTAAGAAGGAGTTAAAATTGTTAGTCAAACAGGTTATGAACTGTAATAGCAAAAAAGAAAAGGTCAATAAAAGGTTGGATAATCCTTGAATGGGTCAAACAGTCAAAACAATTTGTGGACCATTGCTTTAAACAATTTTGTCTAATTGGTATGGATCCTTTTAAATTTGTCTGAAACTGAAGGAAATGTGACTAATGCCATTTTGTGTTCCTATTTTGTTCAGTTTGACTAAACCAATTAACGTAAAACAGAATTCAATATTGAAAGACATTCTTTTAATTAAAGTTAGAAAGTCTTTATGTAATTTTAATATTAAATAAAATAATTAGATTTATTTCTATCATTTATAAATATTTATAAATGATAGAAATAAATCTAATTTTGGTATATGGGAATATACAAAATATTTGTGGCCTGCCTATCTATGTCTTACTGTATTTGCAATTTGGCCTGCTAATTGGAAAGTTTGGGTTGTTTTATAGCATGACTTTTATATTTTAAATTATTTTATTTTAGAACCATAGTAACTGATGGTTATTTAAGATGTTAAGTTACACTGTTAGATTACATAGGTTTGTTTTCAGTTACTTATCCAGTAAAACCTGTCCAAAATGGAAACCTTCCTAAATGAGAAAAATTTCTGGTACATATGAGTTCAGTTTACACAAGTTTCACTGTATATTTTATTTCTATCCTTTTTAATTGAAAATCTGTGTATACAGAAAACACTGAAAATTTATTGATATTATGTTTTGGAAATATGGAATAACATCAATAATTAGTTCACTTTACGCAAAGTTAATGCTTTCTTGAACCTTATGTGAATTATTTTAAAAGTTTGGCTCTATAAAGTTTTTGATTTCTTATGCCCAGGAAAAGAACTGCCAAAAATTGATTCATTAAATATTAGACATTATTACATAATTTAATATTCTATATTATTCATAATACAGGTATTAAAAATACTTAAAGAAATTAAGTATTATGATGGAATATTTGGAATTGAATTAAAATAATTTTATTGAAATTGATATTTCATTTTAAAGAGGCATTTACTTTTAAGTGTGTTTTCACAAACAGTTTATATATTGAAAATACTGATTATGTTCACTTTTATTAGGAAAAAGTATATTTGAGTTTATTATATTAGCTGTAATAAAAAGTTTACTTATGTGACATTGAAAATTCAATTAAATGCTCAAAGGAACAAATATTTTCAAAAATGTTTTTTCATTGTCAGTTTTAAAAATTTAAATTAAGTGTTCTAAACATCATACACTTGTTTTTAAGATTCTTTGTTAAAGAATTTACTTTAATTACAAAGCTTTACAAATATATTGTGATTAATAATGCTTTATTTTTTCAGGTGATTCAATATCAGACGATAAAGTATGAAATTCAAGCATTATCACCACTTTCCAAACACAGACTGAGTATGTATTATTAGTTTATTAATATAATTGAAATAGCTAATTGATTGTTATTAATTATAATTGTTGTATTTTAATTAATATTCAAATGATCTTACTTTTTGAACTAAATATAGTAATGCAAAGTCAACCTAATTTTCTATTATTATAATTTACAGCAAATATTAAAAACTGTTTTCCCCCCTTGATTGCACAGAAAATGACAAATATTCAGAAAACAAAAATAATTAAAACCATCTTTACTATTTCGTCAAAAAATTATGATAAAAACAAAAAACTCAAAAAATATAGTTGAACTGTAACAGAAAAATTCTAAAAATATTTGTATGTAAATTACAGTTTGATTCTGTGATTAGTTTTTAGTTGATAATTTACTGAACAAGAAATTTATATTTTGGAATCTTTTAATTTATTAAAAAATGTTTACAGTAAAATATGTATTAATATCTTTTTTATTTAAATAATTATTTTATGCTAATATTGATTATTATAATTATCAAGACAAGATATAAAAATAGCATGTAAAATATAATTGAAAAAATACAAGAAATCAAATATAAAAGTAAAAATGTGATAAAGTATTTATTGAAAACTTCATTTTAACAAGAAATGTCATCATACAATCTTATGATTAAGGATTTAGATACAAAAAATATCTTAAATAAATAACAGCAAGAAACTTAAAACTATATGGATACAATTTAATCTTAGAAATACAAAATGCATGGGTTTAAAATTTAACAAAATATTAAAATAATTTATAATTAGTTAAAATATGTTTGCATATTTATGTAGAATGTTTAATATTTTGCCATCTGAGCTGAATCATTACATTTATTAATTTATTTAACAAGTTAGTAATTGCCAATGAATTAATGAATTTGGTAATTTAAAATGACATAAACATTAAAAGTTTACAGTTCCTATAACATCTTTTAGAAAAGTTTAATATTGATGATTACAAATGTAATTAATCAATGTTATTGGGGGGCGCTTCTGTCTGCCGAAGCTGCTGGCGCGTTTTTTTTATTCACTTCAAATACAGGTAAAGAATGTATCCTGTTTAATAATTTTACGTTAAAATTTTATTTGTTTGGGCTGTGTGTTAACATTATAAGTTGTTGGAAAAATTATCAACATAATTAATATGCAACGCTCGCCAATTAAAAGAGGAAGACCACCACTTCAAAAGTCAAAATCAACTAGTAGAAAGGAAACTGCTTCGACCACTAATACCAGGTTAATTACTGATTACAATTTACACGTCGAAAGAACTTCTCCTGAACTATCTTCTGCAAACGTAGGTTTGAACCCTGAAACTACACTTCCAAGTTCTCAACTATCAGGTGAGCCATATGATTTTTTATCTTCTTCGCCAGGAAAAAATTCATCTGATATATCAAGTATAACACTATGGAATAAAATTTCTGAATTAATTAATGTTTCTAATACGAGAATATTAAGTCAAATGACTATTATCAAAGAAGATTTGGACCAGATTCGTAATAGTATCCAAGAAACTAAAGTCCAGAATCAAAAAATGAATAGCCAAATAATTAATCTTGAACAACAAATTGCTAATTTGAAAATAGAAAATGAAAGTATGCAATATCGAATGGACAATATGGTTAATGCGCAACATCGAAATAATATAATGTTATATAGATATCCCAGTAAAACTAATCCTACCAAGCTAGAAGTGTTTAATCTTATTAATGAATCATTAGAATTACATGAAGTTACAATGGATGATTTAATAGCGATTATTCCAATAACTAAATCACAGTATCCAACAATTAAATTAATTATTAAAAATACCCAAATAAGAGATTATATATATTCGAGTTTTATAAAAATGAAACAGCAAAACCTATCGAACGTATGGAAAGAAACTCAAATTTCACAGGATCTTATAAAAAGATCTAGATTAAGACGTAAACAATTAATTCCTTTTTTAAGCGAGTTAAGGAAAGCAGGTAAATATCCAAAACTCCGAGGTGATACTATACTGTTGGGCAATTATTCTTTGACGTATAGCTATGTGTTGGAGGGGCTGGTATACTTGGATTCTTTTACCCCGTATTTTACTTCTGAGAATACTCCGCAATGACATATGATCAATTTAAACACTCCTATTCAAGATTTACGTATTGTTGAGTCTCAATTATTAAGTCCCTTGCCTGCAGCACATAATAATAATGAAAGTTTATACCGGATATAAGAATTTAAGAATGAAAATTATTAAAGCATTACTTCAGTTTAAAAATTATCTACATCAACGGTATTCAGTCAATATCGTTAAGCCAAAAATTTGTATTTCAATCTATTAAAATCTAAGAAATCAAATTACTATAAAAAAATTCAACAAATAATCTTAGAAAATAAAAACAGTGAACTTTTAAAGTTTACGATTAAGAAATTACGATGTTTCAATTGTGATCAATCAATGCAAATAGATTCTTTTAAATGGATAACTCTATTAACAGATTTACAGGAATTACAGTCTTCCTTATGCCGATATAAAAAATTTCTTTCAATGAAAGTTTAGATATTCCAATATCTATCGAAGAACTGGATATATCAATTCGTAAATTAAAAACGAAAACAGCTCCTGGAATGGATATAATTACCACTAATTTATTAAACTTCTTCTGCCAGCGGGTATGTAAGTTCTACTTGTTCTTTACAATCATTTTTATAAATCATTTATTATATTCTTACTGAGTGTCCAAAGATTGAAGAAGCGTAATGTAAATTCAAATTAAAAGAGTTTTTTGATTTAAATTAAGAAGAAAACTTCAGAACCAATCAAGAAAAAATTCCATAGTATAAGATGTATAATATTCATTACTTTTTTGTTCATATTTTAAAGAATTTGAAATATGATATGTAAATTGAATGACTAATATGTTATGTTTAGCAAATTTTATGTAACAAGATATTTTAAAAAAATATGTTTCAATAAGTAATTGTAGTTTTTGTAATTCTCTAAAGCTAACCCCCTGTAACAAGAAATTTCTTATTACAATAAAGTATTTGTATTTGTATTATTAATCAATGTTATTAGTTGGTTAAAAAATTATTGAAATATGTTGTTTAAAATCTTTCCATTAATTCATATTGTACTATTAACAAATTATTACCTGTAAATGTGTTTGATTTATAATAACAACTGTCAGTTTTCCTTAAGTATGATTCTTGAATTTTACCAAAATGATTTCTAAAATTAGTTTGGCCTTACTCTTTATTAAGGAAACATTATTTGAACTATTACATTTTGTACATTCAAGTTTTGTTCTAGTGATGATCATTTTTATAAATATAAATTTTTTAAAACCAAAATTGAGGACAAAGTCCATTGAAACAGTCTTTTTTTTAATTCACTTTTTGTGTTCTAGAATACATTTTATGACATCCTGACCTTCCTTTTTAGACTGCTTAGTTGTCAAAAATTAAAAATTTCCTTAAAACATGAGAAAATATATATCCAGTTAAAAGAGGTTAAAATGCTTCCTAAAATTGGAATGGGAACAAAATGAATATCTTCTATAATTCTATTTATACAGCATTGGGACTACACTAGTACTTGAACTTTTATCTGCTGAGAAAAGTGCTGTTGATGTGTAGAATTTCAAACTATTCCTTGGCAAAGAATTCTAAAATACTTTAAAATCATAATCAAATCAGTTTTAATCAATATTAAAATTTCCATTCAGTGAATTTATAATGTATAAATTTTTAAATTTTTAGTGCTATTAATACCAATTTTTATTGATATTATTATTGATAACAGTGATTATGACATCAGAAAAAAGGTTACAGAGAAAAAAATATACGTGGAATAAAACATTGATTTGTAGAACAGAAAAATACTTATTAAATTTTACTTAGAAATATTAAACATATATCACTTATTATTAGTGAAGATAATGAAGTATTCAATTTTACAGTGTTAGAATAAAGAATTAATTGTTAATTTATTTTTTATTTAATTTTTCTACAGTTGAACCATATTTATATGTTTTTCTAGGGAACTGAGAGTAATATTGTATAAGTAAGAAAAATGTACAAGAGAAGCTACTTTTGAATTGCTTTTAGAGTGAATTTAATCGGCACAATTCTAGGACAAATGTAGCAAATTGGGACTTTGACAGAGCAGTAGAGCATATCGATAGGAACAAAAAAGTCAAAGGAACCATGCCCGTACGGGCGACCCTTCGCGAGATATAGGCTCCCAAAAATGCCGCTAATTAGGCAACGCTTTCTATGCCGCCGCCGCTCTATACTGAGCGCGCTTCTATTTCCCTATCTCTAACACATTGTAACTGACGACGGAAAAAGCCAACAAAACAGATTATACACTCACCTTCGACAGAGTCTCCTTTTCTCGCTACCCTACGACGACTGGCCCGTTTCTGATCTTGTTTAGGAGAAGCCGGGGTAAGACCGCCGGTCACCGCTGCCGCTTCCTCCTCCTCGGCTATGTCCAGGAGGTCGACGACGACGAAGATGGGATCGCCCGATGTTATTCGAACAATCGCATATAATCCAGGGTTCGGGTACAAGT